GAGCATTTTAGGCTATGCTTCAAGTTTATTTACTTGTCGACGAGGAGCTGAGTGATCTAGCAGAAGTGCGAATAAGCGTTAGGGAGCGGAGAAAGCATGGCGTGGTACCAAGATTTTTTATTTGTAGACCACATTGTATAGAATATTTTATTGCTGATTCCAGAGTGAAGAAATAGCCACAAAAACCGTTCAAATTCGAAAGTCTGTGCGAGTTTCTATCGAGTTAAGCCCACACGATTTAAGGCGGTCAGTAACTTTAAAGCAACAGCTTTGAATAATCTAATCTTTTTTAGCTGGTGGACGGCAGACTCTGTTGAAGGCTTGATGGTAGAAGCTCTGCTCAACGGTGTCAACTTAGCCGTTCATCCCCAAAACACTCGACGACAAGCCGAGGTTGGCAATAACGGTACAACAAAGTGTGCATCTAGAGGAATGCAGCTTTGCAGAGCATGGTTCTTATCCTACAACTTCATGACCCGGTCCCAACGAGATCGCGACGGGCAGCATTACCGGTCTGTAATGAATCAATGAAGGAGAATGGTTGCTGTCTCTATGATCTTGTTGTGAGTCATTCAAACTCATCGGTCCAGATCCATTCAAACCCGTCATTACCGAAAATAAATCGTCAAAAATCTGAAACGCTGCAGAAAAATCTAGGAGCTTGTTTTTTAGAGGTTTTGTGAACTGCTCTTTCTAATGATGCAAAGACCAAGACTGTGCTTATCGAATCTTCTTACAAAAAATTATGATTTTCGTGAAAAATGCGCGAAGATGTGTTCAAAGAGCAGATGAATTTTTCTATCTGGAGAAATTTTTTTTGTAAGCCATTACAAATATTATCATAGGGAGCAGTTACAAATTTTTCAGTAAAGCGACAGAACTCTTGAATCAACCTAAAATTATACCGATACAACCAACAGGGTCACCCTTAGGTTATAGATTACGCTTAACAGGCGCATAAGTGTAGCTGAAAAACAAGCACTGCAGTTGTTCCATCATGACGTAAGCAGTGGATAATATTGTAAACCATCTGTCAAGAGCAAATGACGCAGGTTTCAGCTCATCAACCTTACGTACTGGAAATGAACAGACATGTACTACGGTTGTTTAGATTGATTTCGAGGACTTCAACTGGGATTTCATCATCGCACCACTCAGATATAACGCATACATCTGTCGAGGAGACTGCACGAGGACTGAGGTGAAACTTGATGCG